TTTTTGTGACATGAACTAAATTAGTCGCTTTCAAAAACTTGTACTTCCTTCTGATCCACATGTAATCTTCTTCATAAAAATTTGTATTTTATGACTAAAAAAATTCAATTGACCCTAGAACTTTAACCAAGAGCCCATTTATTACGCAGAAATTGTGCATATGTGACTTTTGAGTCATTATTTGATATAAATAATGGCCATAAATATAATTTTTGTTTCAATGACTTTATTAATAAGCAAAATTGTGGCATTTGAAACGAAGAAAACCCACATGCAGTTCAGAAAACATGTTTACATTCACAAAAATTAAGATTTTGGTGTGGCCTATGGACTGAAGGTGCGATTGAACTGTATTTTTCATTCTTTTTTTTTTTTAAATATAAACGGTATTGCATTTATGGTCAATAAAGCACGCTACAGAAACATGATTATTAATTTTTTTGACAGATATTAGATGACTTTGAGTTGTGATGTCTTCAGTTTTAATAAACAGCTGTAATAAGGTGGTATAACATGGGATAGAATTTGTTTATTCAGAAAAAATAAGACCGATTTGATCACCTTTTTTAAAAAATCCATAACACTTTACGACATTAAACCCTCTTCGTTGATGGTGCAACTTTGTTCAAATCTGTAAACTGCCCTTTCTTCTGGTAAAAACGGGTTAAAATTTAAAATTACCAATTTTTACAAATCATTGATTTAATGACCAAATAATAAATATTTTATATATATTTTTGAAAAGACCAATTGTTCAATTAGACCATTTAAAAATATATAAAGCTGAGTTTTGAAAGGGTTAATCAAATTTGTTATTTTAAGAGACAGAAATTTTAAGGTTTCAGTACAACTGTTAAGTATAAATTTATAAACATTCTTAAGCAACATTTTTCGAATTCTTGTCAAAAAGAAGAACTTTTCAAATATATCAATTAATTTTCTACAGCTTGATTTCAAGAAAAAATCTCTTAAGAGGGAAGGAAAGAATTGAAGGAAGGGTGTCAGAGGAAAAAATTTTTATCTATTCATTCTTGCTAGATTAACAAAAAACATTAATTAACTAGGGGAAGATCCAAAATATTCGGGGTCCCTTTTTTTACTCAGATAATCTCCTGATTAATTAGGGACTTAGCCAAGTTTATATAACTGTCCAAATCGCCAATCCTGTGGCACCCTTTAAAATCACAATTTTTAATTTTTAACCCGTTGTTGACTGAGACCCTGATTCTAGGAAAATTCGGGCTAAACAGGAATGAGCTGAACAAAAGCAAAATACTTTTAAACTGTTGCAAATTCAAAAAATAAGAATTAATATTTGTGACAAATATTAATATTAATAGAGAGTTATATTAAAGACATTTCTACACAACTTTATTTGTTAATATGTTAATACATTTTTTTTTTGTTCGATAGGTTGTTTATAACCTATACTTTTTAAAAACACATATTTTTTATTTACCCTTTAAAATCCGTATTTTTGAACTTTAACCCATTGCTATCTGCAACTCAGATATCAAAAATTGAAGAATTCAAGCCTTGGTACTTGTAGTCTAAAAAAATTATTTACGAATTACTAAATATAACTTATAATTCCAAGACAACAAATGATAGGCATTTGGGAATATTCAAATCAACTGTATGGTCAATCAATAATTCTATTAATAAAAATAATATAAAAAGAGTATTTGTTGCTGTTGTTCACTATTTTTCGAAACCTCTCTATAATTTATAATGTCATAAAACAATTATTTATTATTAACCCTTTAAAACTACAATTTTTGTGCTTTAACCCTCTTTCTGAGGCGTTGTTCGAGGAATTAGGTGAACTGGTTTACGCGACTCAAATGTAATAGCGTTTTTTTAAAATAGGACTTCATTTTGTCGCATTTTTTATTAAAGGGAGCATTATATTAGCATAATAGAAAGTTTGTTGTGTAGTTTTAACGTGCGGACTCATGAATTTTTGGCTTAAACGTTATTTATAAAAGTACGCTTTTTTTAAAAACAATATTTATTGTTAACCTTGTTACATTAATTATCAAGACTAAAAATACGATTTAGTGGATAGTTTAAATTAAAATTTAATTCCGTTGTTTTTTTGGTCTGCGTCAAGAAGAATTGGATTGTGGAATTTTCGAGTCGCAACTCAAATTAATCTAAAACAGTTTTTAAATATTAAAAGAATAACTCCAAAATTTTATTAAGAGAGAGATATATAAAAGACCCCGATGTCTAGGAGAAAAGCGGGCTAGACAATTTAGCTCAACCATTTTGATTTGAATTTTAAAAGTAAGACTTCAGCTAAGTTCAAGAATGTGTACCGAAGCTCATGAATTGTGTTCATGGAAATGAAGTAACGGTCATGTGGGTTAAAGGACACATCGGTATTAAGCAAAACGAAAACGCATATGAACTTGCAAAGCAAGGATCAAGCAATAATTTCTGTGGCCCAGAACCCAGAATACCATTGAGTTACAACATGACGGCAGCCTATGTCTATAAGTGGATAACCTCACTTCATCTTAATAGATGGAGAGAGTTGAGCACTTGTAGACAGACCTAACTTATGTTGCCGAAACCGTGGGCCAGGGAAGCGATAAAAGTGCTTACCTAGCGGAGCACTCTAAATTGGCTGATCTCACTAATTACTGGACGTGGCAATTTCAAGTATCACCTCAAAAAGATAACTCTTGCAGAGGAAGACACTTGCAGACTATGTGTAGAAGAAAAGGAGACAGCGGTGCATATATTGTGCTAATGTCCAGCACTGGCAAGTAGGAGGAAGACTTGGTGTCTTGGTGACACCATTGGGTTGGTGATGACTTGGCAGGAAACCTCAAACTAAATGAGCTGCTTGCATTAACAAAAAATGTAGTTATGCGAACGGAAGCCACTCCAGCTTTAACTTAATAACGACATCCGAGAATCGAAGGACGAAAAAGGACCCAAGTCGTTTCGTGGTCTACTTCGACTAATCCTTCAC